GTTCTGTGGGAGGTCGACTTCCACTTAGATGGTGTCTTTACAGTATCAATTTGGAAGGAAAACCTATGCTGCTTCACTGGTGAACTCACGGCAGATTAAAATGTAAATGAATGTGGTTTTTCTTTTAGTTAAAAAAAAGTCAAAAAAGGAGTTCATGAGATCTGTAGTGCATAATTTCATCTGCCTAGAGATCTTTCAGATTTCTGGTATTAGAGATTCAAAAACTTTTCTCTGTAATAGTCAATACCTAAAGCAGTACTTAGTCTAAAGATCGCAATCCGCATACTGGCTTGTATACTGGCTTGTAATATGAAGACTGTAACCTGTAAGCCTACAGGCTGAATCCTGCCTTTCAGTAAGATCCCTTTACTCATGCAGAGTTCTAGAAAGTGAGACAACTTCATAGGCAAATGATTACAAGTCTTCTGGTAGGACTTCCAGAAAGTTGTGGTTTTCCTATATGGAGGAAAAAGGGCAGATTTCACTAGCATGGATGTAACACACGGAAGAGGAGTATCCACCTCATGACCATGATGACAGAAAAAAAGGAGGAGGAAGCCAAAAAGAGTGTGAGTTCTGCTGCCTGTTTCTGAACTTCCTGCTGTGGAAAAAAAAAAAAAAAAACAAAATCCTGTTTATTTTTATTTATTATTTAAGGTAATCTGGTAAATTTTCCATCACATATAACCAGGTATAGTCCTAATCCAAGAATATAGAAATTGATAATCCCAAATTATCAACAGGAAGTAAAATAAGAATCTAAGAAACATAAATCACAGTTTCCATGGTATTGTCACACTTCTCTCTTGAAGCACAGTTTTTAGATATTTTGAATCTTTCATTCCCTAGCATTACACTGAACCTAAATAAATAGATCTAGCCCCTTTAAAGACATGGAAAAATTAAAGACAGGAAATATAAAAATTCAGGAAAATAAATTGATCAATATAAAAGTTGCTGACCAAAAATAAAATTTTTTCCAAGAGTTCTGGTGTCAAAAACTATATATGCAAGTTTTGTTTTTCTTCGTTTCCTGATTCCAGAGCCTTCTGACCATCACACCTTAGTGCACTGATTTGCCCTGAATAGTTCACAGGTGTGCCCAGCTGCTCCCTCACTTCAGGTCACAGGTCAGTGGGGCAGGGCCGGAAGTGATAGAGGCCCTGCCGCTGGTCTCCTCCCACACTGTCCACTGTCCACTCCCCGTGGCAGGCTACGCAAGNGAATAGGTTGCTTGCATTTATTATCAAAGTTCAGAGACACTGATTTGCCCACTAACACACACTGAGAGGAAGTGACAGAGCCAGGACTTCTGAGTCAAGGGTTCCTGTGCTGAGTCTATACTTTTCTGTACACCTCCCTGGATGAAGACAGTCCAAGTTTGCACAGACCTTTAAAGTCAGTGTTTTGATTTCATACTCTGAAGAAAGTTCAAATGGTTTTCCTTTGTTTTCTCTTGTGACTGCCATGCAAACACTAACATATATAGAAACCGATATTCTCTTTGAACTTAGCAAGACTGAGAAAGCACAACACTAAATGACACATTTAGGCCATATCAATTTTCTTTTTACAGCTCCCATCCCCGACACCTAAGAGTCAACCCTTCTTATTTTGTGTGAGTAGAAAAGAGGGTTTTTGCCCACCATTTTCCCCAAGAGTACCTATTAAAAAGAAAATAATAGCTGCCGTTGACCATCTTAAATTTTGTTTTGTTTTTCCAATCACAATTTCTCATTGCCCTTTCCATAAAAGGGAAGAATAGAGATGAAAGAAACTGTCAAAAGTAAATTACATTTTTAACATGTAAAAGGAAATAAAAATTTTAAACACAGCACAATTATTGTCAAGAGATACTACTGAAACAAAAAGAATTTAAGTTTGCTACTCCTGTTCTAGAAAGCTAGACAACCAACAGATTTCAATGACTAGAAAAGATATTTTAATTTCTTTATAGCAATGCAGAAACAAAGAGGATACATGCACCAAAACAGGACAGAACAACGGAACATCTGTAAGCAGCTACGGGGCTGCCCCGGTGTCTTCGTTGGTAAAGAATCTGCCTGCAATGCAGGAGACCCTGGTTCGATTCCTGGGTCGGGAAGAGCTGATGGAGAAGGCATAGGCTGCCCACATCAGTATTCCTTGGCTTCCCTTGTGGCTCAGCTGGTAAGGAATCCATCTACAATGCGGGAGACCTGGGTTTGAACCCTGGGTTGGGAAGATCCACACAATGCGGGAGACCTGGGTTTGAACCCTGGGTTGGGAAGATCCCCCAGAGAAAGGATCTTTACAGATAGATTCAAAATCACAAGTAATATCTATAATATCAACCAAATATTAATTCACTGTTCAGAAAATGAGCATGCATGGCATAAACCAATAAATGTAAGCAAGCATAAGTTACAGAATACGATATTCAATGGTTATGGAAATGAACTTGTGTCAGGTTTAGGTCTCATGTTTAAGGACATGGGCTCCAGACTCAGAACACCTGGGTTCAAGTCCTGGTTCTATCACTTAGCAGTTGGATGATGATAACATGCTTCACCTCTAGTCTAGTCCTGAACTTTACTTTAGAAAGTATTGCTTTCTTGATTCTATCAACAGTCAAGATTAGCAAAATTACAACATTATATGAAAAGAACAATTCTTATATTGATTAAATGCTTATTTTCAATAATACTTTTAAATCTCATCAACCACAAAATGTGCAGAAGACATAAAATAATTTCTGCCGCCCAGTAACAAGTAAGTCAAGACTAAGAGTTGGAATAATGTTAAGTGCAACACTGTGGGCCAAACTAACCTAGTTCCATGATAGGCTAAGCACATCTGGAAGACAATTCAATTCTTCCAGTACACACTGGGCATGCCTTGTACCGATACAGGACTGAGTCACTACTGCCCCAACACCATGCTATTACTCCTTATCTTGAGATACAGGTTAGACATTCTCTTCAGCAGCTAAGTATAAACATAAACCCTACTCCTCAGGACACGTGACATTTCAACATACTTAATAAGAGGCATATCTATACTGGCCAAGTAAAAGTCTACCTTCAGAAAGCAAGTTCTTTTTGTGTCCACAGAGGTTGGCCAACACATCCATGTTCCACTGGCAAGTTAACTTATATCAAGTTCAAATAGCACATCTTATCCATTCTATTTAAATTGCACATCCAAAGTTAATCTAGGTAGGAATGTATACTTTGTATTATAAAACAAGATGTCACACGTACACCCATGGCTGATTCATGTCAATGTATGGCAAGAACCACCACAATATTGTAAAGCAATTAGCCTCCAATTAAAATAAATTAACTAATTAAAAAAGTTGTCTCGAAAGTTTAAAAATACACTAAAACTTTCATAGATTCTTTTTTTCACCTTCAACTGCTAAGCTTACAAATTTTCCTGATATATAAATACAAATGTACAGAAGTGTTTTTAATCGTGAAATCACATTTATAAGCAAGAAAATGCAATATCCTGAGCAATCAAAAACAGAGAAACTAATAAAGAATGAAATTCTTGGTCAATAAACACCTTGAGAAAATATCAAATGAACACTCTGACTGCTCGACCTTAATTCCCAAAATAATACAGTAACTCACTAGTGCTGCAGAAAAGCTAGCCAAACACCCTCACTAAAACATACCAAGCTTGTTGTCTGTTTCTGGAATTATGTGTGTTAAGAATAACGTCCAATTACACTCTCCTAGAGTTCAAATCAACTTTGAATCAAACCACTGTTCTAAGCCTTATACAAACTGTATGAAGCCTAAGTCAATATTCACTTATAACCAAACACACACATGGAATCACATGCAGCATTGTACCTTAATGAAATGGGAACAACTCCCACACATTTTGCTTATGAGATTTTACGTTGGCAAGCAGGTTCTGTACTGAGCAAGGAAATGTCTCACTTCTATGGGAACTTCATTCAGTTTGCATCTCATCGGGGTTTCATTTTCCATGACCGGACCCAGGAAAGGCCAGCAGCGGGGCAGAAGGGAAAGCACATGTGACAGGACACTCAGGTGGACAGCGGCCCAGCTCACTTCTGAGCAAGCTCCCCACCCAGGGAGGTGAGACGGGACAGGAGGGAAGGGCAGAAGATACACTAGTAACCTACCTAGCTGGGCCTCCCCCAGTGGACAGGTCTAAACACACCCACACGCACATACACTCAAGAATGAATGGCAACTTGGTCTGCTTTTATAAAGTACTTAAGTTTCACATGTAAGTCTTAATAACTTCTCACACTCAAACAGACTCAGGCTCAATCCATACTACTGGCAGTAAGTTTTACACAAAATATAAGTAACATTGAATTTGATATGAAACAATGCAACTGATTATCTCCTTAAGTTGGGCTTCCATAAGTTATATCACAGTTCTTATTAGAAGTGAAAACAGTTATATTTTATGACTTTTAATTACATATTTTCCCCAAATCAGCACAGCCTACCTCACTGGGATATTTGGGCATTATTTTGGATACTATCAATTAACTCAGATTTAAAATGAAAAATGGAAGTCAAAATATAAAACTATTTTTGAAAAATGTCAATTTTCATCCTATAACATTGTATAATATCTTAGGGAAACAGGTTTGCTTTTTCTAAAGTTTGAAAAGACAATCTCAAAGAGAATACGTCATCAGAGACCCTTTGAATAGATGCACTGTATTTTATTTTTTCTTAAAGATATTACATCTTGTGAGAATTTTGCTGTTTTAACAAGACTTAGGTTCTAAAACTATGAATTCTAAAAAAGCAACTAGAAGGCCATTTTACTACCACGATTGGAAAAAAAATTACTGCGCTAAAAACTTTTAATCTTAGGATTAGCTGACTAGCATTCATCAGGCCTCATGAAATTCTAAACAACTCCTATGAAGATACTTACAACCTCTTCCCAAAATGCCTTTATTTTAAAACCTGTTTTCTGTATCAGTGATGTATATGTCCTCATTTTTGTTAAACACTTACCTGTGATTTTCTGCAGCAAAGGTGACAATTCAGACTCCTCACAAAAGACCTGAGCCAACGCTTTCTTCACTTTTTCTTCACCTTCACCCAGGTCTTTGTCCACTGAGAACTCTCCACTGACGGAATAAATATATAGCAGGAGGACCAGCAGCTCTTCGGGGCTGTAGTCATCATTGCTCCTCTGGTTCAAAGGCTTAATCATGGGCAGCAGCTGATGTAATACAACAGACATTGTCGATTCCCCAATGCTCTGAAATAAATAGGGGGAACAGGACATATGTCAGTCTGTACAAAGGTGTAGTTTATACACTACATCAGTCCAAGGATCGCGTGCAAATAAGTCTGTGATGTTCACTGACTAGACGGGTTTTTATTTGTTTCTTGTCCTGGAGAGAATACTGCAGGAAATTTGGCATTAGAGCTATTGTTTTTGAAAGATCTAGTTCATCAAAAGGCTGGTCAAGTTGCATACCCTTTTGTATTATCTTACATATTGCTCAAACAAATAAGAGCCCATGTATTCTAAAAATAAAAGTGTAAGTACTTCAGACACTAGAAAATGTAAATATCTGTAAAGTAATATGATTAAAAATAAAAACATGCCAGCACCTATGTATACAAATGAATGCTGACACTCCTCAGAGGAATTACTTTGGATTTTATAGCATATTCTTTTAATATTCTTTAAGTGGGCAAATATGAGTCAGAATTGATTTTTTTTAATAACAATGAAAAGTCATTTTCTGCTAAATCTGGTCAAAGTGGGTAATGACACTTCAGGATATCTTTGGGTGAGTCTGAAGGCATGGTGATGGACAGGGAGGCCTGGCGTGCTGCTGTCTATGGGGTCACAAAGAACTGGACACGACTGAACGGCTGAACTGATTCACCTTTAAACTTAAAAAAAAATGTGCTTTTAGATATTTCAATTTCCTGAGTGACATTTAGCAGAGAATTTCAAAATTCCTTCCAAGTGATAATAGCATTGTGGCACTGAGTGAGTTGCATAATTTACAGGGCACTGTGCACATTGCTTGTACAGATTCTGAGGTTTTTGGTGAATAGATAAATCCCCAACTCACATGGTGATTTAATTTTACTTATAATCTAAAATAACCCTGCAAAATAAAGTTCAACTATTTGCATTTATATTAAAATCAGGAGCTAAATAATCAGAACTTGCAACTTTCGATTCATTTTGAAGCAGTCCCTGAGCATCTATTATGTTCCAGGTACTACTCTGGGTCTGGAGAATATAGCAGAGAACAAAACAAATCCTCTGTTCTCATAGAGTTTACATTTTAGTGGGGGAAAACAGACAAAAAGCTAAAGAAGTAAAATATATAGCATATTAAATGTTGGTAAGAGCTATGGAGAAAAATGAAGCCGGAATGAAAGATGGGACTTTAGGGTGTGTTTGTTTATGTAGGTTAAATATGCACTATTTTAAAGAGGAAAAGCCATGTTAAGAAGGGAGTGTTGAAGACCTATAGAAACTCTCTCTCTCTTAATGAAGTTGACAGTAAGCAGTTAAATTTGGTTCTTATTGGGATGACTACCCAAAACGAGCTTTTCTAGTCAAGTCATTCCTACACCTGGGAAAATTTGGATATATCATCTCAAGGTTAAAGTTCACAATTAAATTCTTTGGTATATGAGAAACAGCTGTTTTTATTTCCACTAAAAATCTTGGATGTTCACAATGTACCAAACAAAAACAAAATGAAATGGATAAAAGTATAACTGGAAAAGAACAGATTGGAGATTTTACTGTTACATGGTAACAAGACACGGTTTACCAAGTATAAACATACCCCTGTCTCAAAGGACACGGCTGAAAGGTTTGAAGGCATCCTAGGACTGTCCTATAGCCTTGGCAGTCTCTTAAGAGGAACTGTCAAGTGTTTGTTCTTTGCTTTACATGCTGTCAAAAGCAATTTAAAAGAAAGGAGCTGTGTGTTAAGAGGGGCCGTGGGGGCCACAGTTCTCGTTTTTTACTTTTTACCCTATCACCAACTCCTGGATGTCATTAAGCATAGTCCTTTATCACTTTATGTCCCACTTCTAAAAAGCAGGTGTACACATCAAGTATGTCCGGTAGGAGCCCTGTGATTCTCTTCCCAGAGCCAAAAAGACTTTTTTGGAGATAGTTATAAAAAGTAAAATGGGGCAGGGTAATCATCATAACGATTTGAAGATTCACTCACTCACATCCAGCCATCATAGCATCATTTTCGAGTTGTTGATCTAAGATATGCCCCTGTGGCTCAGTGGTAAAGAATCCGCCTGCAAGGCAGGAGACACAGAAGAGGTGGGTCTGACCCCTGGGTTGGGAAGATACCCTGCAGGAGGAAATGGCAACCCACTCCAGTATTCTTGCCTGGGAAATCCCATGGACAGAGGAGCCTGGTGGGCTACAGTCCACAGAGTCACAAAGAGTTGGACATGACTGAGCAACTGAATATACATATGCACACGCACGCACACACACACACGCACGCATACCTATCACTGGAGAGCAAAATCCCTCCTCAGTGACCTGGTGGTGGACTTCGGATTGCCTTGGTCATACTTGTGCACACCAACTCTAAAGTCCTTATTAATGTATTCCAAGTAGTTAATAACTAAGTTGAAAACAAAGCCAAGAATACTAATCAGTCTTACAGAGGCATTAGATACAGTGGAAATAAAGAGATTTCACTTCAAAAATCCAGAATCCACTTCTGACTATTCCACTAACTAGTTTCTTATTCTTTGGACCTCAGTAAACTTCTTAGGAAGTCTTTATCTCGAAAATGATATGATCTGGAGGATAACTGAGTTCTTAAGTCATAGTTATGTTAAGATTTCCATTTCTACTTTCTTCTCACTCCTTTAAAAAAAATTACCAGTGATGGTAGAACAGAGTGAATCACATTCTTATTGTTTGCTACACAACAAAATATAAATACTCAAAATAGAAAAGCTTTACTATAGGAAGAAATGTAGATGCAGAAATATTGCACATACATGTGTAACATGGGCTGATATACACTCATGTATTTAACTCTGTCTACTGAGAAGATCTGGAAGTAGTGACACCCCAGTAGCAATGGGCACCCCAGTGGTCAGATCTTAGTTTCTAATATCACTCTTCAATTATAGGAACCAGAGATCCTTGGAGAAACAGCTGATTCTAGGGCTGGGGCAGGAGAAATACAAGAAGAACCTGGAATATCTTATGGTGCCACAAAGTAAGGAAATCCTTAGAAAACACACAAATGGGGACACATGAAGAGGACACAGAGACAACTGGAATCCCGCCCAGTGGCCAAAGACTGAACAAGTTGAGCAAGAGAACAGTTAAAGTAGTAATGGATTATAACCCAAAGTATAAAGTAAATATGCATCACTCCAAACTGATATGAATAAGTGACTACATTAATAAATGCAGGAGAAGATACAAACCTTCCTTAACAAAATAATTCCAGATTACTTATCTGTATAGGAGACTTCTCCTCCAGGAGGTAGAATTTAATTGCCTTACCTCTTAAGTATGGACTGAACATAGTGACTTGCTTCTAAAAAACTATGTATGGAAAAGGGAGGGAGGATCGACTTTAGTATCCTAGAGGATCGAGGTTAATGTCACCAGTGATGTCATAGTGATATCATGTGTCCCTAACATGATGTGGTAAGAACAGCATTTCATTTTTGCAGTATTCTTCTCCCAAACCCATAAACCCATAACAAAAACATCAGATAGATGCTGAGGGACATTCTACGAAATGTCTGACCAGTACGCCCCCAAAACTGTCAAGGTCATGAAAAATTAGAACAAAAAGAAAAACTATCACACACTACATGAAACAAAGGAAACATAATGACTAAATGTAACATGATGTCCTGGATGGGATCCTGGAACAGAAAAGGGACATTAGAGAAAAACCAGTGAAATCAGACCAAAGTCTGGAGTTGATAATTAAGAGTAATGTACCAATGTTGGTTTCTTAATTTTGATGAATGGTTGTGGATACACAATACTGTAAAGTGAGGGGAATATAGAAATTCTCTGTATTATCTTGGCAATTTTTCTATAAATCTAAAACCATTCTGAAAACATTTATTGGAAAGGGAAGAGGAAGGGGAGAGGGGGGAAAGGAAGATAGTAAGAGACAAAGACAGGTACATTCTGATCTTCTTTCTATCAGATTGAAAATTCCAGGAAGACTGATTTCAGCAGAGTATAAGAAAGAGGGCTTCCCAGGTGGTGCTGGTGGTAAAGAACCTGCCTGCCAATGCAGGAGACATAAGAGACACGGGTTCAATCTCTGTGGGAGGAAGATCCCCTGGAGGAGAGCAAGGCAACCCACTCCAGTATTCCTGCCTGGAGAATCCCATGGACAGAGGAGCCTGGCAGGCCACAGTGTATAGTGTTGCAAAAAGTCAGACACAACTGAAGTGACTTAGCCAGCCTACCAGACTACAGAGCTAACACTACTACTACTATTGCCTACTACCCACCCCATGGACACCCTTTTTACCCAGCAGAAGTGATTAAGATGCTTGGTAAGGGAATGAAATACCTTCCAGAAATAAGAAGTCAGTAGTCTCAAAGGAAGCAACAGCAGCCTACACACACTGGATGTGAAACCAGATTTTGGAACCTAACTGCAAAATTAGTCAAAGGTTAAAGGCAATATAAACACTATTAAACGCTGCCGTTAAAAAAGCACATAGAGAGCAAACCACAAAGGAAGGGGGAAAATGGCTTATTTATAAAGTACCAGGGATTAAATTTCTCACTCATTCTGATATAAATGGGCTTACTAGTGGGAGGTGGAAGACTGGAGCTGTGTCTGGAATGACCAAAAAAAAAAATTCTTTTTTTAAAATTCTGCAGACGGGGACTTCTGTTATTCTTGAATAAGTCCCCAGTAACTCCATACAAAAGGTCCTCTGTAAAATGTATGTTGTCTTTAGAAAAGCCAAGTTTGGGGCTGAATTAAGATCCCTCTGCAAAGTCAGTCTCTGCTGGCTAGCTCTGTAGGCATGAGGTGCAAACGAGCCATGTGTGGTGTGGCTATAGAGCAGACCGCTGCTTCCACACCTGCCCCTCTGGGGTGTGAGCCTGAGCACACTCAGGGAAACTGTAAGCCATCTAAACTGTGCTCTGCTGAGAGCCCGTCTGCAATTCCTCCCACTTCCGCTCAGTCAGGGGGTGCAGGCTCAAGGGATGGAGCCAGTGTGGGGCCTGCGGGAGCACGTAAG